TTGGCACTCACAAATACCCCAAAGTCCGAGCCCCTCTCTCATTACCCACCCCAGCCTCCTATTCTCAATTAAGTTTCAAAGTCCTATTAGAGTAGTGGTGCCCCATAGGCCAAGACCCGAGCTTTTTAAATCATGACTTAATTTGCTCCTTGCGGGGATATGTGCCATCGTAATTATGTAGTGAAAGATAGCCTGTAGTTAACGAGACAAGCTTCCGCTCGCCATTGGGGCGGCTCCTTGATCAGTTGTTGGGGCGAGGTGATTTTTGTAAGAGTCTAGATAGAGGCCTCGCATGAAAACGATGGTTACGACAATGACGAGAAGTATCTGAATAAAGATATCCTTGTATATGCTTTCGACTTCGATTCGATCGCGATTTTTCTTGGCTATCTCAGATATTTAGAGCACATTGAGTGTTAGCACCGGCAACGCTGGAAAATGAAGAGTAGTCGTTGGCGCTAGATGCTTTATTTAAATATGATCTCCGAAAAAAATAACATCGCGCCAGAATGTAGCTCGTGTTGCCGGCCAAATGACTGACTAATCCAATCGACCAACTCAACCCCTTAATACGGCCTACATCTGAAAACTTGACGTCTTGATACAAAAAGTTAGGAATTGGGTCGAATACCAATATCACTACTGAGCTCACCCATTTTGGACGACTTATACTGGGATATCTACTAGCTGCAAGGTCTAGACACGGCGACTTTGCGGAATATCATCGACGGTTTCAGCACGAAGACACCATTCTAACCTGTTCATGTGGACAAGAGAAATCCTCCGATCACATATTCTTCTGCCATATTGGGCAATACCAGAATCAGGTAAAGAGGATCCAAAATTTTAGTCCCAACATATCTTGGGCTCTGGCTTTATTAGAGAGAGTTCACACCTTTAATAGCTGGGCACGTACCATAGGTTTATTTATAGAGACACAACAGCAAGTCTAACTAGACTTGAACCACTGAATATAAGGCTAGAGAGCCTCAGATTGATATAGATATATTCTCTTTTTTTCTTTTTTTACGTTTCTCTATAACTACCATCTGTAAATAATGGGTTCTGGCAAGAGGCTGACGTTCGTGTATATTTTAATCTTCGGATGCAGGATTATTAGATCCAGGCATTCTATTGCTATGTTGGGTCTATATAGGCGCCAACACGTCGGGCAATTTAATTTAGACTGGGCTAACCGGCACGTGAAAAGCTCACGTGCTGTGCGTGGGCACGACGTTAAATATAATAAATAAAATAAATACGGCCTACCCTTCAGAAAACTACAATTAGAGAGACGACTTTCTGCTACTGAGAGAATATTGGCTGAAAAACCTGCCAGTGATGTCTTCACTGATTTTGGGGTGAAACATCCCTCCAGAGACGAATTTCAGTCACGACAAAGGGTGTACTCGAGAGGTTTTTTCCGGGTGGCGGTCGGGAGGAGTGGCGTTGGCAAATGTTTGGTCTAAAATCCAACCTGCAGAGATCTCATGACTGCTCTAACCGATGATTTTAAAGATTTAGCCGGCACATCAACTAGAGCATTTGGCAAAGGTCAAGATATGGGTACGTCGGCTTTGAGCCTGTCGACGTATATTTAACCTTCACGATTAGGGGTACGGCAGTTATGGGGCATAGCCGTAGGTATGGAAAGTTTACAAAGTTTCTAAGATAGCGATATGAATAGAAGGATTAAAAAAAGCTTTAAGCGAGAATTAAAGGAGGGAAAAATGAGGGGACCTTCAATGAATATGATAACTCCCAGATAAGAGGAGGAGAGAGGGATGAGGCAAAGCTACTCGTAAATAGATGGGAAAAGCATGAGTACGGGTAGGATTCAAGGGCTCAGGCACATTTTGTCCCAGGCTCAGGAGGAATATGTGTTTTGGCGCGTCAAAATCGAGTATTCTGGACGGTTAGACCCGATATATTCAACACGTGGGTAGAGTCCAAGATGTTTCGGTCCCTCAGATGAATCGAGAATCGTGTGTTAAGTGGTAGTTAACCTAATCCATCATGGCCCCACTCGTGCTCAAGCTGCAGTAGGAGTGCGACGGTAGTCAATTTACCTAGCACGTTAATAAACAAACAAAAAACAAACAGCTGTCTATTACTCTAAAAACTAGTGTAACTCAAGCAAATTTCCTTCTATTATCACTTTTATATCCGTCTTGCAAGTTGATTGAAATTACTCCTATAGACAACCTAATAGAAACACAGATTCGAAGGCGTCACGATAAGGAAGAAAAAAGAATAAATTTTACCCCAACAGTTGTCCCACAAAAATATTGTTCCGCCACAAAGGGAAGATTCAGTGAGTTTAAGATATCCCCTTGTAAAATTTGTCAGCTCGATCCAATTTTAAAAGACTAGAGCGGTCTCAGGCGTGCCTAGCATCCATTGAGTGCCGCGGGCCACTACAAGGGCGGGCACGGCTACTTCCTATGTTGAAGTGAAAAAATTGACCCGGGCTCTTCCTACCACCACAGCAGCAATTTACTAGAGCATTTTTGTGTTAGAAATGCAGATGATCTTGAGCGAAATCTCCATACACAGAACGAGCGACGGTCAAAGTCCCAAGTGTGCGTCGGTTTAGATCTTTCTGTTCTGGGGTTATTCATAGGCTAGGACCAATCCCTAGTTCTCTGTATCTTGAGGGGGCATCCTGTGTCGTGAAAGCGGTGGTGGAAGTTTCGTATAGCTGAGCTATTTCTCTATTTGCTCTTGTTATGATCGGAGGTAGGGATAGCGCAGTGATTAAACAGGCTGACTTAGCTAGAGCATCAGCAGCTTCGCTTCCCGGGATTCCAGAATGTCCGGGGCACTATCGGACGCTGAATGTTTATACCCTAGTACAGGATGCACGTTTTCTATGAAGCTAGCTAGCTGCGAGCTGCCGAAAATTTACTATTTGGCTAAAGTGGGTTGTAGTGGATGGTAGCGGGAGAATGTGGGACGCTTCATTGGGTTAGGTTCCGTATTTTACGGTGGCTAGAGCTGCGTGTAGATCAACTTATACTTTATGACAACGCATGCTCAGCCTTACCATGATATGAAATTAAACAGCTAATCAAGATCATTGTATTAAAGAGAAAGCTTCCGGGCTATTCAATGATGTCAGTAGAGAACTGAGGAGCAGGCAGCAAATAGACTTCCACAAATTTAAACAGGAACTACGTTAGCGCTGCTGGCTCCCTCCCCGGCTCCCCGATCAATGCATTCCGTTAAACTGGTTATTGACTGGTCACGTGATTGTTACCTCGGTGACTATAATTAAGATTCTTATAATAGCATAGCTATCGGTTTTTGGGTGTTAGTTTTCCGGGCCTTAGCGTCTGAGCTGTATGGATCACGATATTTTACTGTCCCGTGCGGCCCCTAACTATGTGAAGACATGAAGCTCTTCTTAACTTTCCAGCCGGAAAGGTTGCTGGGCGTGGGAAATGAAGTATGAATAGCAGTTACATGGCCTGAACAGATGTTCGAAATGGAGGAACGCATTGGCTCCGAGAATTACAACTGTATGTTCATTCTGCAGCAAGAGGTTGATCATGAGACAACTGTAAACGCTATGTGCCAGGCTTAGTATAACTCACTTCTCGAGTACGCTAGGACCTATACTGGGACTCCCCGTAGATCAGCCTCACCCTAGATCCATGAGCTAATCACTCCTCACGGCCCCTGGCGCGTCCTCCTGCCTTACGCCACACTATGAGCGGCCCCCTGTAAGGTCTCGTCCTGGTTGATGTCATCGGCACAATCGGCATCCCTGCTATTGTGATATGGGCCGCTGCTTGAGCTAATGATATGCATCAGTCACAAACTACTAACGAGCAGAAACGGCATAATTCTAACTGCGCACTCTCTGCTCCATTTCTGCTCTTCGGCCTAAGGTGCTGACCTGATCATAGAATCTGTAGTTCTCACCTGCGAAAAATAGTGCGTAGACAGCCAAAGCACGATCAGAACCGTAGAGAAAGGGAGAGGAATATCACATCTAAACAGCGGCTAATTGATTTACTGGAATCACTGCAACATAATCTCCCCACTTAATAATAATAATAATAATAATAATTATTATTCATTATCCTGATTTAGCGCCTTGAGGCCCATGCAGGTTTTTATCGGAAGATATGTACTTTAAGTAGGATGACTCAATTTGACGTTCAGAACACTCACACTCAGATTTCATTTGCAGATGCCACTCAAGGTTAACCCTTACGGCGTATAACCTCTTCCATGCATACCCACCACAGGGAAAAGCGTGAAAACCTGTGGCTACCAAGTGTGCTTTCATCATCCCACAAGTTTAATATCACCGCGAGAGAGTGTGGTGTGTGGGTCTGCCTGGATCCGAACCAGCTTTCTCATGTCTCGAATGGGGTAGGTGTTCAAGCTACCCAGTATCTACTTGGGAGAACGGCCCGGATGGTGTACCACTGCACCATCCAACCCCTCCCCACTTAATAAACCTGAGTCCATGAAAGCTTGACACGAGAGATGTCGCTTAGCTGCATATTCCATGAGGCATGTACTCGGCTAATGCTGTGACCAAAGCGTAGAAGACTAGAAGAAGACGGGGAGAAGTGTGACATATCATATATCATATTCAATAATTATATCGAATTCAGGGTCCTTTCGATGCCCCACGGCTCCTACTTAGGCATTCTAAAATAACCATGTCAACTACACCTGTAACATAGTAACTTATCCTTGAGTTGCGGGAGGGGTAGTTAGGGAAAGCTCGCAAAAGCTCCGGCCGTGCTTATCCTGCCCAACTTTAATAATTTGCGATCAATATTATTCACTAAATGGAAATTTACATTACGTCAGTACAATGAATCTAGTATTTAGGATTCAAAAGGTGCCATTTCTTCGAGGAAAGTAAAATCGAATAATAATTCATGTCTATAATATGATTTAAAAAGAAATTATTTGAACTATTTCGCTACATAAACGCCCAACCCACTTAACCTTCTTCTGAATCATAGATTGTACCCTTAAATTTCGCGATAAGTACCCAATGGAGCAGACATTTTCCAGGTAACCGATTCCTCTCTTCCTTCGCCAGGCCTTATTTCAACACCAGGATTTCTCCAGAGTTGAGACTGGCTTGGTGCAGGTAGGTACTCGGATTGCTGCTGGTCCCATGGTTTGAATTTCAAGGTAAATAAATTTAGAGAACGGTTACTGTAGAGGTCCTCGTTGCATCTAGATTCATTTGCTGAAAATCTTTGGTTCATAGGATGCCCTGGCATCGCGGCAAATGTCTGCTCCAAAAGCGGGAGAGGGTTTTGAGCATGAGACTCTGGCCCTTTAAAACCTCTCTCGGAAGGGTACCGTCGCGTATCCTTACAGGGCCTCTTTTTTTCCTCTTCTCGTATTTCTCTTGCCTGTGATAAATCAGTTTTGCGACATAAGTGTAGGGCTTGTTAAAGAGAATAGTGTCTTACATCCATTCTGTCACATAACCTTCGAATTCGCATTTGTAGCGCAGCCTGTTCGACATACGTACCCATTTTCTCATTAAATTTTGCTTGAATATCTTTCCAAGGTAAGCCTTCAATTCCTTTAAGACGAACAAGCAGCCTTTCTTCCTCCGTCAAGTGGGGTGATTTGACGAGATTCTGCCAGTAAGAGCGATCTTGAGTTTTTCTGTGTTTAATTATATTTAGTTTATATCGCGCTTTGCTAGACAGCTTAGAAGTATGACGAGGTGATGGACAAGGTTGTGAATAGTGTGGTGGACAGGCTGGTGGACAGGCTGGTGGACAGGCTGGTGGACAGGGCGGTGGGCAAACTGGTGGAAAGGTTGGCGGAAGGGTTGATTGAAGATATGGTTGATTGAATTCTAGAAAATTCGGTGAAGTGCATGGTGGAAGGCTCGATATATAAGATGGTAGATAGAATGGTGTAAATATCGGTTCGATCGGTAAATAGGGATATTGTGACTTATCCGAATGCTCAGATGGAATAGGCGCCAGTAGTTCTGAATTTTTCACTACTGGCGATCTGAAGAAAGGCATCTACGTGCTATGTTAGTACCTAACTCTCCATTTTATCTAGTAATGAAGTAAGTAAAAATTTACTTACAACAGCGCTGAACGGTAACTGTCCCGGTATCTGAGCCGAAAATATATCCGAATGAGTATAGCTGTCTCCATTTTCGCACATTGTGATTTCTCGAATTATGCCTCTCTATATAGAACTTGAAGTGTGGTATAAAATTAAGATGAAGACGATGTGTGTCTAGTTATGTGATATTTATACATAAATATTTTTTGAATATTGGCCGTCAGATAATTTGAGGGCAGGAGGTGTCTCTAACTTGTTTCTATTAATCAATATTACATGGCTAAAAAATCGTAGGACTTTGCTCAAACTTATATAGATTGTACAGGTGAACCTGTGTAACGAGACTCAGGATTCATGACTTCAGGTAGATAGCAAACGATCATCTAGAATTGGCATGCTAGCGTGTAGCATTCTTTTGGAGGCGTTATACGCAGAAAAGACCGGGTTACTTAAGGATGATCAACGATTACGCCGCATATCCTGGAAAGAATAAAAGATTCATTGAGTCGGAGGTTAGATGTGAAGATTACCGTTAAACTCTTATCCGCAGGGGGAATCAAGGTTGGTAGTTTATAAATTCCTGGGTCAAGGGATTAACCCTAGCTTAAGCTGTATCAACATTAGTATAGACCGGGGGTATATACAGTATGTGACTCCTTGGCGCTGAGTTTAAGTGAGGGGAATTCGGACGTTACTACGGTTCATGGAATCTCATTGAGTAAAACTCGGTCCGACGACCACACAGCCGAAACCTGGGGATACATGGATTCGTGCGAGACGGAAAATAAAAAAGTCCGAAGGCAGGAAGTCGGTGGTCACAGGAGAGGAAAAACGAAAGTGGCAGCCGGGACATCAGAAGCAAGGATTGTCAGTACATTTGACGGGGTCAGCCTTGCGGCTTATAGCTAAGAATCCAAGTAAGCCGTGATTTTCTCTCCATCGGACATTTGTAAATCATATTGAGAGACCAGAGCACTGTACCAGATATATGGGTCGCACGAACAGGTCAGGTTGTATGGATAGTGAAGAATAAATCATTTTCTCTCTTTAGCCTCTTATTGGTGGGCGTCCGGAGTAAAATGTCGGAAGATAAATAGGAATGAAGTGAAGGTTGAAGCTAAGTAAGGGATAAAAATATTATTATCCCACATGGTGCATTTACATATAGGCGGTCAACATTCCACTGTGCATAAAGCATCACGGCTCGGACAATTAGATCTGACTAGACTTAGTTTAATCTCTCGTTCTTTTTGAAAATTTAATGATTGCTTTGTAGATTGAAGTCGATTTTGATATGACATGACACTGATAACTTAGATAAATAGGTGATTGGCTTTGTTAAACATTCGAAATTATCAAATTTTATTCAATACGGCCTGGAATCCCTTTCTTGAGGTTCATTGATTCTGATAACATCCAGTTTCCCAGGATTAATAACCCTGTCACAAAGAATATAGAGCAGGAATTATTCTCTTGAACCCTTATGAGTCCGTTTATATTTAGATGATCTTGATATCTGGAGCTTGTCTAGTTAGGTTTGAGGGATGAAAGTTGCTGTATTGTATATTAGTCAATGACAATACTACTACCTGGCTGCATAATTAATTGACTTGAGTTTCCGTTCGTTAGCCTTGAAAAATGCTGTAGCTGTATATTTTCGACGAGGATAAAATTCGAGATTAATTTTGCATTTAGCAGGCCTAGATGTAATCGAAAGATGGCAGACATTTCTTTAAACCTTGCTATTTAAAACGCGCATAACAGGCTGAATTTAGAGAGGCGGAGACTAAGAAAATCAAGATTGTTACACTGCATCAGCATGAGCCTTGCTAGTGACAAGCTTCAGGTCGCCAAAATTGCGGTCTCTCAAATGTAGATTTTTACCAGAGATCAGAGTGCCTTAGTTCAAAGTTTCAAAGTGCTCTAATAAAAATTGAGTTACCTGTATACGTCGATGTCCCTCCGCTTAGATGCTCTAGATGATGTGCTCGACTGTAAGATTGTATATTATCTTATGGTTTTTAGTGGTTTACCGCTAAAGATGTCTCCTAGTCCTGCTGGGTCCGGAACATCTCAATCTGCAATAAGATAAAATTTCGGCATTTCTGTTTAAGCATCAGATAGAAGTTGTTCTTCATGGGAGCTGCAATTGCTAGGGGTAGATGTGCAGCTTCCGTCCGGCATTGGACAGCTTAATATGAAGCCTAGTAAATACTAGGATTGTATCGCGAGCGAAACAAGGGTTTCAGTAAACCTTGATAGTGGTAGAAAATTTTATGCTATTTGTGCAAGCTTCCTTAGTTTTATTTGACTGATAATGATGCATTTGTGTGTTGATTTGAAAATCGTATCGTACTTTAAGCCTTAGAGCTTTTACCACGCTTATGTCTGACAGAATCATGTGGATGGGAAAATATAGTCTCAAGAGCAATTTATCATAGCCGTTTAAATAACTAGGGGTGTGCCCAGCAACTGAATTTTAGCCGAATATGGCTATACATACCCGGCTAGTACGAACATTATTTGTCGGAAATATCCCATTGAGAGGCGACCAGGCTAACTTAATCAAGAATAAATCTTAAATATTACATTAAGGTAGATAGATTAGATTAGATTTACATTACAGTCCTAACCAACAATGACCATGGACTCCTACAATCTACTTCTAAGAAACAAGCTGTATTATGCAGATTCAAATTTGAAAACTTAAACTTTACTCTCATGACAGTGAGGGTCAAGTTGAGGAAGATATACCTGATGGCTAGGAGGTTAAAGACTGAATAACTATCTGCTCTGCCCACTGTCAATGAAAAAGAATTATGTTCTCTTAGGGCCAAGTTTAGTTAAATCTCGTAACACCAAAGAAGTTGGCCCACGTGGCAATGATTCAAGAAGCTCCAACATGTCAATCTTTCACTCCCGACGAGATCGACTCTTACCTAGGCCTCATCAAGTCTGCAAGTACGACCAAGTATATCCTCATTTCCATGAACACATCTCTCATTGACTGTTCTCTGGTCTCGAATGGCAACTAAATACGCGCCTACGACAATATTTATATTCACAGGAGGAATCAGAGCATGGCACACAAACTCAAGAGACAGTTCTTTATAGTAAACGTGAGGGATATCAGGAAAAGCTTACATGATGATACAGAGGATGTCTGGTTGGAAATATTGCGCAATGAAATGGACGCAATATTTCTGGAACAAAAGTAGAAGTTGACTAAAAGAGTGTCATGTTTGGATTACCGCTAAAAGTGTGGAAATTGTGCGCTACAAATACAAGTGTAAGCGACTTAGAGCTTAAGTCACAGCATAAACGAGTGTGCGCCATTTAGGCATAGAAAACCCCCAATAACCTCCTTGTGCCCGCGCCATACAGCCGCTCATGTCTCCAATAGGTAGGCTGAAGCTCTACCATATTACCTATTTTAACCTCTTAAATACACACAAGATCGTATCGTGAACCTAGACGAAATGGAGGGTCCGTACGTTCACAACACTCTGTGTCTCCATTTCCAACAGTTAGCAAAGTAGCTGTCATGGACCAAGGGCCTATTCTGAGTCAATAGGAACTATGTACGAAGATATCTGTGCTATTCTGCTACATTCTGTCCTAATATGTTCTGTTCTTTTCCATTCTACTCTACTCCATTCTATTTCGTTCTGTTCTGATCTGTACTTGTCTATACTATTCTATTCTACTCCATTCTATTCTATATGAGAGTATACTGGAAAGATCGAGAACAGTAGAGAGGAATAGGGAGCAATATATAATGGGTAATTGGGATGACTTTGGTTCGGCAGATTATGGTCTTATATTCTTAGGAACTTTTTAGAAATCATTGAATCTTATCTTATGTCGAACTCTAGAACTGTCGAGCTCTTGAATTGTCGAACTCTTGACCCCTCGGAATGCCAACACCTCTCGTACCCTTGACAGTAGCAGCTAAGCCGGAAGCGTTGGCAGAGTATCGATCAAATAAGGGGACACGAACAGAAACTTATCTCGGGGCACCTAATAGTGGTAGCAATCTAAAGTTTTCAGATGAAACCAGTGTAGAATTGGATGAGCATGCCGATAAAGTAATGACAGGAACTAGCGCAATTCTGGCCGCTGCCATGCAGGAATTGAAGTCACTGAGAAAAAGGTCAAGTCAGCAGGGCCAGGTTAATAAGAATATAATCAAGTAATATGATAGGCCTAGAGCACCTTGGCGCAGCAAAAAAGCCTTCAACAAATATTCTATCAAGGGGATCTATGTCCACTGTGAAAAGACTGGGCATATGAGACAGAGATGTCCAAAATACCGACCAGAAAAGAGTTCTCAAGCCGGTGTCATTTCAGCAGAGTTTGATCAAGAAAAATTTGAAAGCTCCGCATGGGAAAACTAGTAATTGTTGAGAATTGGCACAGCTCAGAAAAACTTAAAAAAGTTGAATAGCCCACCATTTTTAATAGATGATTTAATTAACGGATCGGTTTTCATTGAAGCTATGGTTGATACCGGCTGCCTCTGTTTTTCTACGATCAACGAGAGCCTTGTGCAGAAGTATGATTTGTATTCCGAAAATGTTTTCCCGCATCATTTGCAGTTGGCTGACGGAACCAAAGCAAACAAAGTATCACGGATTGCGGGGATGAAATTGGACATAGATGGTAGACAAGAGCAAGTCTGGGGTTACATTGTGCCAAATTTAGCGTATCCTTTGATATTAGGAAAGCCATGGATGGACTATAACAATGTAGTAAACTCAGCAAAGCGAAGATCATTATGTTTGTTTGTTTGTTTGTTTGTTCATTAACGTGCTAGGTGAAGTAACTACCGTCGCACTCCTACTGGAGCTTGAGCACGAGTGGGGTCGGGCCGGATCAGGTTAACTACCGTAAAGTACAAGTGCCTCGTCCCACCTCAATGACCGGAACCATGCCGAAACGCATCTATGTGTTGAAGCATGACGAGTACAGCAGCCCAGAGTTGAAAACAAAACAAAAGAAAACTTCCACGCAAAGTCCTGCATTACAAAAGAAAAAACTTTGACAATCTCCCTTCCATCGTTCCGCCTCGGCCACCACGCGCCCGAGCCTCGATTCCT